GTACACGTACTACATGCACTAAGTGCAAATTATGGTGAATAATTACTTATTTGTAATTTCCCTCCATTGAAAGGTAACAAACGGTTCCTGTCTTTATAAACAAATATAAATGTCACAATCGCGTGCAATTCGCACTGACTACATAAAAATCATTAAGAATGACATTTTTTAGTGTTCCAATAGAATTTCCTTGTGAGCTCTTTCAGCTTCACCACTCCTAAGTAGTGTTTATTTTGAATCGCAATTGAAGTGGCAATCAAGTATTTAGAATCTTGACTTGAAACGACTTTTTAATTAAACCTCAAACGATCGCGTTTGCAATCAATACAATAAGTCAATGAAACTATTGCTAACTTCGCTTATGAACGGAAAGACCCGAAGTTGCCTGAGTCCCACGTGCACACGATCGCCACCACTAACGCCACCTACGCAAGTTCGCTTCTTGCGATGCACCAAACAGCAATTTTTGGCAGAATATCCGGCGGCCGGATATCCGGCTATCCGGCGATAAGACTGGCCGAATATCCGGTATCCGGTATCCGGCAAAACAGCTATCCGTTTCATCTCTAATTATTATACCTTATGTCAAGGTCTAGTTTCTTTCTACTATTACTATAAAATTGAACATAACGGGTTTTGGCGATATTGACCTTTAAATTATTATCATGTAACCATGAAATGACATCATTTATTACGCATTTAATGTCATTTTCGTAATAATGTTTATTTCCATGATTATTTTTTATGATCAAAGATATGTCATCCGCAAATAAAATGCATGGGAATGGAGTTGAATCCGGTAAATCATTTACATAAATTACAAACAAAAGAGGCCCAAGAACGCTTCCCTGAGGAACTCCAGTATACTTAAGAATTAGTTGCGATCTAAATTTTGTCAAAATATTATTTTTGTTAGGGCTTATAACTTCCACACACTGTTTTCTTGATGATAAGTATGATTTTATCCACTGCAATGTCAGTCCTCTTATCCCATACTTTTCTAGCTTACGTAATAAGGTTTTATGGCAAACAAAGTCAAATGCTTTTGACATATCAAAAAATACACTTGTTACATTTACCTTATCATCTATTGCATCGGTGATTCTTTTTAGTAAATCAAAACATGCCATCATGGTTGATTTATTTTGCTGAAAACCATACTGTTCTTTTTTCATAAAATTATGTTCATTAAAGTAATGACTAAGTCTACTGTGCATAGCTTTTTCAAAAATTTTGGAGAAAACTGACAAAATAGTTATTGGACGATAATTGTTCATATCTTTTTTATCGCCTTGCTTAAATAAAGGTTTGACCAGGGATAGTTTTAATGACTCTGGAAAAACACCTACTTCGAATGATAAATTTATCAAATATGAAAGTACAGGCGATAGTTCATCCTTGCAGTATTTAATGACTTTCGTATTTACACCATCATGTCCTTCACTTTTGGAATTTTTTAAATTAACTATTAATGCCTTTGTCTCCTCCAGAGTAATTGGACGTCAAAACATGCTTTTGCACGGACTATTTATGTTATACAGGTGCGTTGCTTTCGCTTGCTTAAATTTAACTGTTCTTGTCTGGCTTTCATAATAATCATTAAAAGCGTTAGCAATTATCTGTGGAGATTTTAGACATTCATTATTCTTGTTTATCATGTTTATATAGTGGTCATTTGATTTTAATCCTGCCTCCGATTTTATCATATTCCATGAACATTTTCCAATATTCTTACTGGTATTTATTCGTTTAAAATAATTTATTCTTTTAGATACATCAATACACTTTTTTAATAATTTGGCGTATCTTTTATATTTTTGTTTATTCTCTTCAGTCTTTTTCCTATAATAACCAATTTTGAGTTTCCTTTTCATTAAGCAACTAAGTCTTAAACCTTTTGTGATCCAGTTATTTTTATACTTCATGTCTAGTTTTTTTGTCTTAATCATTGGAAAGCATAGATTATAAAATAAGATAAAAAGTTCCATAAATTTATTGTATGCAGTATTGATGTCCTTATCCTCAAAAACTTCCTTAAAAGTAAGCTTTTTTATACATTCACGAAATATATTTATGTAATATAAATTATAATTTCTTTTATACTCCCAAATATCCTTTAACTTTTTTTTCTGTTTATGCACATCAATAGATAATATTTGCGCCGATTCATGATCAGATAAATATAACTTTTTAACACATGCCGTTGCATTCATTATATTACTAAACACATGATCTATACAATTGTTTCCACGCGTTGGTTCATTAATATGTTTATATAAATTATAATTCGAAATGATGTCATTTAATTCAATTGTATTTTTATTATTTTCCAATGTATTAATGTTAATGTCTCCAACAATGATAATTCTTTTATTAAGATTATTTATTAATTTTGACAATAAGTTTTGTAGTTTAAAGAAGAATATGTTCACATTCGAACTAGGTGTCCTATAGATGCATATTACGTAAATATTATGTAAAGGAATTTCTATTCCACAACATTCAAAATGCTCGGATTCTGCAAAATCTGAAACAAATTTTATTTCGTTCCACTCTATATCTTCCTTTATCAAAATACATACACCACCTCTACTTTTTTTACGACCATAGAAACTAGTTAATTTAAAACCAAAAACATTATAATTATTACAGTCACTCGCTTTAACAAAAGTTTCCGTTAAACATAATACATCTATTCCTGTATGTTCCTCTTCGTGTAAATATTTTAATGTTAATTCTAAAATATCCTTTTTGGAGCAAATGCCAGCTATATTTTGATGTAAAATTGTGAATTTCATATATGAAGATTTTGCTTTATGGACGAAAGGAATCATGTGATACTTGTTTATAAGACTTTATAGAACGAAAATAATAAGTTATTAACCCTCTATTTGGTTTACAATTTTCAAAGTTATTGTTGATGATATTGCAATTTTCATTATTATGTCTAGCATTCTTTTTACTCATTAAATTAAAATAGTAAGGTATAGTGCCCTTTATAAATTGAACTTTAGGTGTGTTAGGTTTAATTTTTTGTGAGTTAATATTTTTGTTATGTGTCAGTCTATTTCTTAATTTACTTAATGATAGAAACGATGTATCATAGTCAAAGCAATCTATATTAAAATTTAATTTTCGACTCATATGCCACAAATATTCCTTTACGTTATAAAAATTACCACTCGATGTCAAAAAAGTACAATTATTATACAATCGAACTAAAGAAGCTATATTATCATTTAATGTTTTTATATTCAAATAAGGATTATTTACATTTCCTCCACCTCCTCATTGGAGTGTGTCGAGGTTGGTGCGTAAGCCTGTATGACCTTCAGCGAATACCGTTTGGTGATTCTGAGTATAAGGTACGCGACCCTCGTCGACACACTGCCAATCTTTATAACGTTGTTAACGAGAAACTTGTGGACGATAAATCCGACACCTCCTTGGGACAGATGGTCGCCCTCCCGGTGATAGAACAAGTTGCCGGATTCGAGGATTACCGTGTCCTCCCCCTCTCTTCGGACCTCGGATAGTCCTATAATATTCCAGCGCAACTTGTCTATCTCTTCTTTCAGCTCCAGGATCTTCTCGTCAGTCCACAGGGTGCGTGCGTTATAAGTTGCCAGGTCGAGTCGTCGTAGGTGGCAATCGAACCTCCACCGGAGATTCTTAGCACCCCTGCCCCGCCGTTACCATGGTCGCCACCGTAGCTAGGAATAGCGGGGCCGACGGGGACTGGGGGCCGTCTCTTAGTAACTTTATTTATTTTGGGGGGTATATTGCCATAGTTGCCACGTTTGGCGAACGGGTTGGCTACCGCAGTTTTTTATTGTGATATTGCTGTTATCAGGAAGATGCTGCCTCCCATCTCTTGACTGTATCCCACTGTCGCCTCTTACGACACCCACAGATATTCTTAACCGCCACTACACAGCTATAGTTTTTCATTGTGACATAAATCACCCGAGTTTGAAACACCGTAATATATCAAATTATAAACTAAAAAAAAACAGAAAATAAAATCCATGTTAATAAGTCGTTATAATCAAGTTTGTAACGTATTTTTTTTAGTATAACTATCCACAAATATTAAAGTGTGTATAGTTACTTTATTTGTTGTTTACTAAATATTATTTAATTTAAAAAAAACATTTAATTATAATCAATTTTTATGGTTTATTTTTCTTACATGTGTAGATCGATTCGATGTTATACTACAATTAAACTTACAACAAAAATTTCACTTGACAGAATGAATTTATCAACTAAGTTCAAAAACAAATATTGTCGATCCTCAACGGAACGGATATTTTGAACTAGCATCTACGGAATTGTACAGAATTTTTATACCAATCTACGGATTTGGAGAAATTTGATTATAGGTTCTCGGAACCGGTATTTAGAACCGGTACATTGGAACCCGAACCGGAACCGATGCCGGAACTGGAACTGTACCGAAAAGAGGAACCTTTATAAGAACCTAAATGAAGAACCAGAACCGAAATTGGTACTGGTATTCAATCCCTGTTACAAACAGACACTTTAATTTTATTTATTCGTATAGATTTATTAGACCTTTATACAAGTTTCAAACTTTTTATTTAAATTTATTCGTATCCAATTGTTATGTAGTTCAACATTAATAATATTTCTTATTTTAGTGATAAGTACGTTTTTATAGAATAATATAATAAGAATGACAAAGAAGCACACAGTCCACCTAATGGTAAGTGGATGCTGTGGCCCATAGACATTTTGGACTAAGAATCAATATGCGGGTGCGTTGTTACTAAGGACTACGATAAGGACTAAGATGGAATGCCTCGTTTCCAGTAAAAAGGCTCTCATGTTCTCTATACTCACCATACGAAACAGTAGCATCAAGATACTATTTTACGCTGGTATTGCGTGGTCCTTCCCCGGTCGAGCCGACCCATTCGTGTTGCAACCATAATATAGCTGCTGCGTGGCTCTACCACGTATAATATTGGTTTAACCTTGGAAATTTCTTCCCGATGTCCTTGCATGGTGGCCAGTTCTCTGCAGTCGGCGAGCGCCTCGTACACCCGCGCAGTGCCATCGCTGCCAGCCGTGGCAAGTCGTCGTCCCGCCCAGTCAAAGCACACGTCTAACACCTATAGGAATAGAATAGAAAAGAATCACTTTTATTCAATATACTTAGATTACCTTCAGATTAAAATTATAAATTTTTTGGTCTTTGGTCCGATCTACGCAAGAACAAAACAACAAAAATCACCCTAAAATTAGTTTTTTTGCATGAGTTGATAGCTTGAGCATAGCGCAACCGGATCGGATATCGGGACTATAGTCGAAGTTTCCCTGCGTGAAAGTCTTCGTAATGATTATATCCGCAGTAGAACCAGAGTAATCGACATAGCACAACAGATCATTAAGCTAAAGTGGCGATGGGCCGAAAATATAGCCCGAAGAACGGACAATCGACGGGGAAATATTTTTTCGAGTGGCAGCCCTGTACTGATAAGCGTAGGGCGCATAGACGTAGAAGTGTAGGGTGACCCTCCAAGAAATGAAGTGACGACATGATAAGACATATAGCATGTCAATAGATAAGACATGTAGCAGGTATTTTGTAGCATTCTTTGGCGGAAGCTTATGTTCAGCAGTGGACTTGTGAAGGGCTGCAATGATGACGACGATTATAATAAAATCCGTAGAATTAGTTTTATTAGATAAAACCTTAGTGACAACTCCCGGTGCACCTGTGGTAAGTGTCTACTACAGCACATACGACGTGCAACTACCTGTAATCAATTTAAGTAAAGGACTCTCCAGATGCATTGTCACACGCTTTCACAGAGTATCATAAAAATAGCAGCATATAGCTGCTGTGTTTCGTATGGGGAGTGTAGAGAACCGGAGACGAGTCATTTCATCTTAGTCCTCAAGGTAGACAACGCATCTGCATTTTGACTCTTAATCGAGGATGTCTATGGGCTTCAGTATACAGTTACCATCAGGTGGACTGTGTGCACATTTGTCACCCTTATTTTATAAAAAATCAATAAATGACGCTTGACCTCGGCTGCGGCTGCAGTTACAGTGGCGATGCAGGTGCGCTCCCGCGTGTCCCAGAGCTTCGCGCTGCCGTCCAACGAAGCCGAACCCACCAGCGAGCTGTCCCAGTTGTACTGGGCGTTAGATATTTCTGCCGTGTGACCAGACAGGACCGCAACGCGCCTAAGGAACATATTACAAAGTCGCCCATTGTACAATTGAAATTTGCAATTTATGGTGGTGTAATAAAGTTGTATTTTATTTATTTCTGTATTAATTTATCATTATAACGCCTTGCGTTTTAATATGAGCAAAACTGATTAAACACTTTTTTTGTCTTCATGTCTTCCGGCAGATGGAACCGAGCGTGTTACTTACTCTTTGATCCTGGTATCCCACATACATATCGTGCCATCGAACGATCCAGTGATAAGGCGCTGGCCTTCAGTGGGGTCGAATTGAAGCGCGATGACTTCGGCGCTGTGACCAATGTACGTGTGTACCTCCGTACCTACGGATAATGAAAAAAATTTAACGATTTTTTATTGAGAGCCTGTTGGTTCTTGGGCCCGATATTTGATAGATTTACAATAACCGGCCATATTTTGTAGGATAAGGGTGACAAACCAGCACACAGTCTACCTGATGGTAAGTGGTTGCTGCGGTCGGTGCGGTAGACATCTATATCTATCCTCGATTACTAATCAAAATGCAGATGCGTAGTCACCTCACCAGAATGTCTCATTTCCAGTAGTAAGTAGAAAGGGTCTCCGATTCTCTACATTCACCATACGAAACACAGCAGCGTTAAGCTGCTATTTTACGCTGGTATTCTGTGAGAGCGTGGTCCTTCCCCGGCCGAGCCGACCCATTCGCGCTACACCTATACTTCTAATATAGCTGCAGCATATCTCTACCACGAAATTTGCAGAGAAAGTTCAGAATAACTAATATAGGCAAATGGTGAAGAAAAATGGATTAAAAAAATTTCAAACATTGTGTCACTTTTATCTTTTAAATTCAAAATGCTTGGTACTGCATTATTCTAACAGATTTTACTGCGCATGCACACATTTTTAAGGGTCGATCGGTAGGCATAAACGTTGTTGCCCATAAATCACATTCAATTTAGAATAGTTTCAAATAAAAGAAGAAGCCTTATTTACTTGTATTTTCAAAGACTGTAACAACGCTATAATATGATTATTTAGATATTTGAATTTAAGTTTAAAATTAGGCTACTCTGTGAAACATAACCATGTATAGCAGCAGCATGGCTTGTCTACGTATAAATTTTACTAGCTTTCCGCCCTGCGGTTTCATCCGCGACATAATGATTCTAATGAAAATTAGATATTTTCCCGCGGTAAAAAAATTAAAATGTGTTCTTCCGGGTTATTTCCGCTCAGCAGTTTCACCTGAAGACGAAGTTTTTTCCAGTGGGAATGAGTTATTTTACCGCGGTAGAAATTAGCCTATTTATGTTATTCCGGGTCATATACTATTTGTCTCTTTACATTTCCGCTCAGCAATTTCAACTGAAGACGAAGTTTTCATGTTTTCCCGTGGGAACAAGTTATTTTACCGCGTTAAAAAGTATCCTATGTGTTGTTCCAGGTTATATTCTATCTGTGTACCAAATTTCATCCAAATCAATCAAGCTGTTTAAGCGTGATGAGGTAACAAACATGCACACACACACACGCACACACGTACAAACTCTCGGATTTATAATATTAGTATGGATTACGTAAAAGATGACTACGGGAAATATCATAAAAATCTTATTGTTTTCAATAGATGTCCAATAGATGGCAGTCTAACCATATCGTGTACGCCAGATATCAATATCTGTACTAGTGATGGCAACAAGGTCAAAAGTGCGACACATATGGCACTGATATCGTCCAACCGCCTGCCAAGCGTGACGATTAAGGTAACTTCTCCCTACAACAGTAGAGGTTCATGTCCAGCAGTGGACTTGGGTTGATAGAGAAGAAGTAATCTTTCGCTGTGGTAGCAGATTACCTAAAGAAGTCCATTGTTACCTGTGAGAGCATCGTAGAGTTTCGCCGTGTGGTCCATGGAAGCGGTGGCGACATGAGCACCTCTAGGGGCGAACTGGGCGGCGACAATCTCAGCGCTATGTCCCCAAAGTGTAGATACACACTCTCCCGTATCCATGCGCCAGATCCTCGCTGACTTGTCGAACGAACCGGTCACCACCAGGTTGCTGAGGAGAAATTTGGCAAGTAAATTACCAAAATTAATCATTACCGTCGTAACAGCACTTAAGAAGTCCACTGCTCAACATCAACAACACCTCCCCCAAGTACTGCCATAAAACACGGTCATAAGATACCTGCCTTAATTAGTAAATTCTTATATTTTTTTATAGAAGAGGGGCAAACGATGCGACTCATCTGGTAGTATGAGTAAGTGTCGACCGGCGCGCATAAACAACGGCAACACCAGGGGAATTGCAGGGGCGTTGCCGTCTTTTTAGAAATTAGTACACTTGTTACTTGAATGCCCCTTAGTTGTAACGGTCCGCAAAAATAGCCGATGGTAAATGACTCCACAAAGAAGTCGTGCGAGGAAGAAAACTCCCAGTAAATCGCGAAGTGGTGAACCGCCAAGAGTCCAGATGGTGTGGATGGTGTCGTGAGTTTTGTCGCGATGTGCGTTGTTTGATATTAATCTACTACAGAATAGAATAAAATAAAATATTTTTTATTCAATATTGATTATTACATAATACTTATTAAAAGTCATTTTTTATTTACCACTGGTTCGGAAAATACCTCTGTCCTGGGAAAAACCAGCAAGAAACCCAGCGGGACTTTTTTTTTCAAACACATTTCACTTATCAATAATTTTGTTTATACAATTTTTAAATGATTTTTCATAGAACCAGCATGGTGGCGATCACCTTATTCCCAGGGGTTATTTTCATTCATGTATTCCTTGATATTATAATAACCCTTTTTGTACAGTTTTTCTTTAATAAAACTTTTAAACTTGTTTATTGACAAACTTTGAATATTTTCTGGGATTTTTTTGTAAAAGCGTATACATTGCCCCATAAATGAATTACGAGTACTGATTCTGTGGAGTCTAGTAACTGGTATTACAAGCTTATGTTTGTTCCTAATGTTTAAAGTATGCATATCCTTATTCTTATTAAAGCTATTTATGTTTTTATGTACATAAATTACATTTTCATAAATATATTGCGAAGTCTATAGATATACGAGTATGTTTAATTCTTTAAATTTTTGTCTGAGGGTCTCTTTACAATTTAGGTTATAAATCGCCCGAACGGCTCTCTTTTGCAAAACAAATAGAGCTTCAATATCAGTCGCATTACCCCATAGCAAAATTCCATAAGACATTACGCTATGAAAGTAACTACAATACACTAATCTAGCTGTCTCAACATCTGTGAGACTTCTAATCTTTCTTACAGCATATGCTGCAGAACTAAGTCTGCTTGCTAATTTAGATATATGGGGGCCCCATTAATATATAAATAACGTACTGGCTTTGAATAAAACTATTTTTACGGATTTTATCGCGTTTAATTTACTTATTTTATATTCCCGACGTTTCGGTTGCTTTCCAGCAACCGTGGTCACGGGGGACTGAGGTGATTGACGTCCCGATGTCAAAGTTAACCCGGAGTACCTTCAGCTTTTTAATTATTAATTTTGGTCCGATCTACGCAGAATGAACTAACTGTGTCTTGAAGTCTTACAGTGGTATGCTTGGGTTTAGTTTTAATTTTATGAATTACAGGATCCCAAGCAGGTGGTAGTACCCAGCCTCCCTCTCTATTGAAATTAGGATGTTTTTTAATTTCAATAGCCTCACGTATCATCCTTGGCAGGAATCGATGTTCTTTCGCGAGGACTTGTGGTTTATCAAATCTAATGTAATGACGGGGGCCGTCTAGGATATGATCACAAACTGCAGACTTCCCGGAACGTTGGTGCTTCACGTCAGCTATGTGTTCTTTTACGCGGGTTTTTATTGATCGTTTTGTTTGCCCTATATATGAGAGACCACACTCACAATCAAGCTTGTATACTCCTGCATCTTGTAGAGGAATATTGCACTTGACGGATGGTAAGAACTGACTAATCTTCTTCGGCGGCTTGAAGAATGTTCTAATAGAAGCTCGCTTCAAGATGTAGCCAATCTTGTCTGTGACACCTCTGACATATGGTAGTACAGCAGGCACACGCTCGACTGTGGCCGGCTTCACTCGGTCACTGTGACGTAGGCGCGGAACCCGAAGCTTGTTGTCGTGCAGAACCTGCTTGACGTGCTGAAGCTCGGCGGCCAGGTGTTTGCTGTCACAGATCCCTCGTGCTCTCTGCAACAAAGATTTGCCCACGGTAGCTAACTGTGAAGGGTGATGGTGGGATTCACCGTTTAAGTATCGGTTTGTATGGGTCTTTTTTCTATACACAGTGTGACCTACGGTGTTATTAGGATTTCGAATGACTAACACATCTAGGAAAGCTAAAGAATTATTTGCCTCTAACTCCATAGTAAATTGAATTTTAGAGTTTATGGAATTAAGATGTTCTAAAAATGCAGTTACTTTGTCTGATGGTAAAATTGTGAAAGTATCGTCTACGTACCGCTTGTAGAAACTTGGAGTTACTGGTGCAGTAAGCAGGGCTTTCTCCTCAAAGTCCTCCATGAAAATACATATTTTCGATCCTGCCAAGGATGATACGTGAGGCTATTGAAATTAAAAAACATCCTAATTTCAATAGAGAGGGAGGCTGGGTACTACCACCTGCTTGGGATCCTGTAATTCATAAAATTAAAACTAAACCCAAGCATACCACTGTAAGACTTCAAGATACAGTTAGTTCATTCTGCGTAGATCGGACCAAAATTAATAATTAAAAAGCTGAAGGTACTCCGGGTTAACTTTGACATCGGGACGTCAATCACCTCAGTCCCCCGTGACCACGGTTGCTGGAAAGCAACCGAAACGTCGGGAATATAAAATAAGTAAATTAAACGCGATAAAATCCGTAAAAATAGTTTTATTCAATGTGTAGTGTTCGCGTAAATATAAGAAATCATAACGTACTGGCTGGTAAAGCTCTTTTCAACACACTTCTAATTATTTGTTTCACGTGTATGTATGTATGTACCAAATTGGTGACTTTTAGGTCCCATGTTTAAGTGGGATTTATATCGAAAAAAGCGATAGAAGCCTAATAGTAGAGTGTGGACCGCGAACTCAAAAGGTCGTGGATTCGAATCTACCACCGAATACTGTCGTGGACCACTCTTTACACAAGCATTTCAATCTTACCAGTAGTGGTTAAAGTAAATATTAGTAATGTTAATAATATTGGTAGTATTTTTGATAAAGAAAAAAAAAAATGTGCCAACTGTGCAACTTGACTAGTATGTCAAAAAACGAGACTAATGAGATTTTGGATTAGTGATTGAGTAAGCCACCTATTACTTCTTCCACAATTGCCCTACTAAACCCAATTTTCTTTTGGTTTAAACGTGGTCTGAGTAACTTGCTGCTCCTTGAAGAATGCCCTCCGTGATTACAGATATTAATACACCAGCACGCCTACTATAATATGTATAAACCAGTAGATGGGTAGTAGCGTTTTACTAATAATAACTAGAAAATATAAAACAGCGCTTGCAAAGCCACCTGCTTAGGGTGGCCACTAAGACAAATATCGCAAGGCTATACCGAGGCGGATATGTAGGAGGCCTATGTTCAGCATGGACTTTTATCAAAATGCTGTAATGAAAATGATGATGATGATATGTGTATATAAATGTAACTGATTTTTTTTTAATTCGTTTACATTTCGTTTGAATGATCTGGAATTTCGTAGACGTGTAAGAACCGATGACAATACAATAATTTCGTGACATTGACCTTGTACTTTCACTGGGCTCTTCACAGCTCATTGATCAATTTGTATTGTTTTAGTTTAGTCGATCTATAAATCTATTGCTTAGGATGCCTTTTGGTTAGGTACTATCTTATATTTCATTTTTGCCGCCAAACGGCAGTGAATGCATTGGTGTTTTGGTCTGAAGAGTACAGGAAGTTTATAATAACAGGTTATTAGTTATTAATATTATGTTTTAGATGTAACAATTAATCTCTGCAACTTTACACGGACTGCACTAGCCTTCATTGATTGGATTAGGTTTTTTTCAAAGACATAAGGGTGACAATCGAGCACACAGTCCATCCAGCATCCACGTACTATCTATCGGTGATGGTAAAACATTACGGTTCATGTTATGCTGTCTCTTACTAGAATGCTGTCCGTATATAATTATAAACACGTTACCTAAACAAAAAATACGGTTGACCCTGCAGGCTATCCCTGGAACTTCTCGCTTATTTTCGTGCGCAAGCTCGAAAATCTATTTAATTTTTTTTTGTTTTTTATTTTTTGAAGATCTTTGAAACGGATAAACCGATTGATTCGAAAATCTAATCAGCTCGAAGTCTCAATGAACACTTTCGAACGCCGTGTCGCCCATCTCAATCGGTTGCTTCGTTCTAAAGATATCGTACGACAAAAAATTATTTACATACACACACACGCACACGACCGGACGTCCAGACGGGAATAGTTTGAACGGTTTTCTAGGACCTCAATACGTCGAGATCTGATGAAAACTCGCATTCTCAAAATTTGAGTGAAATCTATAACAACCTACTTTTAAAAATTATTAATTTTCAAAGCGGGAAGTTAAAAACTTTAGTAATTAAAGAGAGTTCAAATTATTAGTAATTTTTGTTGGAAAGCGGTACATCGGTTTACAAAGACAATACATATATATTCAACGCACGTAAACTAATGTTAACAACAACTAACGCATAATTATGATTCCGTGCCATTTGATTAATCTGTGCCACATACTAATGTTCAATGCAGAATTATCACAAAGAATGTTGAGAATTAATTCGCTTCGAAATTAGACCATTTTAGCTCTCTATAATGAAGACGGTAATTCCAGGACTATATGCGTGATCAGTAAAGTAGCATGCATTGCTGCCAGTTCCGTTAGAACCAAAATACCAACATAATAATGAATTTTCGAAGTATTTTGCGGCTTAAGAATTTAATTTCCCAAAAGAGTATACACTCGCTTACTGAGAATATATAAAAAACCGTACATAGAGAACTAATATTCATATCAAAAAAAAAAAAAACAAAACATAATAACATCATTGAGTTGACACAATATAATCTACGGACTCCTCTGAATCTGAATCTGAATTAAGAATATATGTAAAATTGGTAAAAGTCTTGTTTTATTTGGATTTTAGTTATAGTGTATATTGTTGCAAATTCTCTATTTTCTTAACTTTTGCTATCTTAATATTTGAAACTAGCTGTTCCCCGCGACTTCGAGCGCGTGGAATTTATTTATTATTATTTATTTAACAATTTATGTACACACAAAATAATGTTACAAGGAAGAGAAAAAAAAGATATTTTGTACAAAGGCACTGCTTATTTCATATTGAAATTTCTTCCAGCAGACCTGATACTGGACAAATTAAAAAAGAAGCTGATCTATGGATCTTTATTATGGGTTTTAATTTTTTTGTGCGGAACCCTGATTCTTTTTCTAAAATAAAAGTATCCTAAGTTACTCTTTATAATATTAGCTATCTGCCAGTGAAAGTCTCGTCAAAATCGGTCTAGCAGTTTTGGAAATTGGCCGGAACAAAGAGACAGATAAAAAATTTAAAATTGATTTTTCGTTATATTTATTTTTGGTATATATTTTTGTTATAAGTATACTTTTATATGCATTTAATAAAAAGCTGTTATTTTGACATTACACACAGACACTTTAATTTTATTTATTTGTATAGATAACGACTTTATCTTATAAGAGCTAATTTTCAGATTTTTGAGATTTATCCGGCATCATTTAAAAATTTATTCATTTAAAAAGGTATCGTAAATACCCCCTTGTGGGCCGTCTAAGAGAAGACTATGACTCAACTGTGAATTTTAATGGACTGTTGTGGATGGATGATGAAGGTTAACATAATGAAACAGTAAACATGGTTTGTTAAAGAAATAACTTTTTATTTATAACTGTAACTATAAATTCTCCGCGACTTAGCCCGCGTGTAATTTAGGGTTTTAATTATGTTGTAATTGTGTAAAGTATGTATGAACCCTATTTATATTTCTAAAATATAAGTAGCCTAAGTTACTCATTATAACATCAGCTATCTGCCAGTGAAAGTCCCGTAGAAATCGGTCCAGCCGTTTCGGAGATTAGCGGGAACAAACAATCAGACAGACAGACAGACAATCATTTTTAAAATTGTGTTTTTGTGTTATAAGTATCGTATATATTTTCATATGCATTTAGTAAAAAGCAGTTATTTTAACATTACAAACAGACACTTCAATTTTATTTATTTGTATAGATGTTATTTCACAGGCGGTAAAAATTTTAAAGTAACTGCGAGTATACTTGTGGTCACCGCTGGTGATAAGAAGACTAGTTCCTAAGTATACCAATTCAGCGAGGAAAAGCAGTCAGCGTTCTTGGCACTATATCATATCACATACTCTATAATATGATAACTTAAGCTTTTAGTTTTTTTTATTATAATAATAAATATTTTATATACTTATGTTAAGTAAATGAAGGTAATTTCAATAAAAGTTTAATGTAAAATATTCAGAATGTTGGTGATCCAAAAACAATGAAAGTGAAAGGCTATTTAAGTTGGCACTACGTAATCCGTTGGACAATCAAGCCAATGAAACTGATACCTTCTCTGTTACTTTACTGTCTTTCGAAAGTAAAAGCTTTCGTTTGAACTCTTGTTTTATTTGACCTCTTGTTTGTTTGTACACAAAGTTCAGTATATTTAATGACGCAGAGAACATCATCATCATCATTACAGCCCTACACAAGTCCACTGTTGAACATAGGCCTCCACCAAGCAATACTAAAAAGCACGGTCCTGAGCCGCCTGCATCCATCGACTTCCTAGATGAACGACTTCGCAGAGAACATACTAGGTGGTAACTCTTTTTATGCCTAGGAGTCTGTCAGGGTAGGTAACACCCTCTTAGCTATTCCTGCCGCCAAATACCAGTACTTTTATTGCTGGGTTCCAGTTGGAGGGGTATAGAGCTATAGAAAGTCAGTATAATTACAGGCCGTGAAGCATTCCATCTTAGTCCCCTGAGATGAAAATACATTAGTAGCCGTCTTTGTTTGTAGTTTGTTGCAGGTGTCCATAGGCTGCAGTAGCCACTTACCATCAGGAGCCATTAAACCATTTTTATTAAAAATCTAATGCAGCAGAAACACAGCAGCATTAAGCTGCTATTTCACGCTGGTATTCTGTGTGAGTGTGGTGCTTTCCAGAGCACAGTACAACCACTTACCATTAGGGGAACCTGATGGTAAATTGGTTGCCGTAATCTATAGACATCTACATATATCTTTAATTAGGAATCAAAATTCATATGCGTTGTCACCTTTAAGAACTGAGATACAATGCAATAATATTATAACTACAGCGTGGCTCTGGCATGTCAAATATTATTCAAGTATTTATATCCTTGTAAATGTACATAATAAGGTCTAGGTATGGTAGCCTTATATAGGCATTGTAATGAAATATTTTAGGAATTTAAATTGATTAATTACACTGTGTAGTGGCGACGTGGATTCTATCCAATACATCATATTATCCTATGGATGTCGTAGGAGACGACAGAGGTAACTGTACCAAGATATGGGCAGCAGTATATTCCTGATAACAACGTCAACTAATAAAATAACCCGGTGGCCATACCGCTTGCCATGTGTGGTTACTATACCAAATAAATACCCCTTGAAGCAATGTAAAGGGACAGCTCCGTGTTCAGCGGTGCGTTTTTGATGGACTGTAATGAATTATAATTAAAAATTGTGAATTAAAAGAAACAAAGGCAGTCATAAAGGACTGCCGACAGAAGAGAAAATTCAATGATATATGTGTATACATGTACACAGGCCGCTATATTACGCGTCGCTATTGTAGCTTGCGATAGACTAGCGACGCGTAGCAAACATACGTCACAAGCATGTCAAGGTCATCGGTGACGCGAACCCATAAGTTTTTTCCCGACAAAAAATCGCTCAACGCGGCTAAAGAAGTTTTTACTTAAAAAAATTGAAGCATCTTATGTTTGTAACGAATTTTACCCGCACCCTTGGAGTTTCTCCTGTATCATTGAGGTGTTTGATATACACAAATTACACCCGGAAAAACAAGAAAAATCTATTGCATGAACAATTATTTTATAGGCCATACATATATTTATATAATAGCGCAACCAATCAATAAGCTGAAAAGGGGCAATGGCCCAGCTCGACGAACCGACTACCGATGAAAAAAAGGTTCTAGAGTAGCAGCCTCTTACCTAGGGCTGGACTAGATGGAGTGAAGACCGAGTAAGACACGCGAGGTCGTTAGAATAGGGGGCAAACGAGCATGCGGCTCACCTGACGGTAAGTGTCGACCGCCGCGCATGAACAAATGCAACACTAGGGCAGGTGCGTTGCCGGCCTTTTAAAAGGGAGTAAACTCGTTTCTTGATATCGTTTCGATAAAATCACGGGTAGTAATCGGTTCCACAAAGAAGTCGTGGGAGGAAGAAAACTCCTAGTAAATCACACAGTGGTGAATCGCCAGCGTCCAGATGGTGTGGATAGTATTGTGAATTTTGTCGCTGCGTGCATTGGCGGAATTTGGCGCCTGGAATCAATCCGAACAATTATTATTCACAGCACTCCCCGTGTTAAATGCAATAGTGAATCGAGCCAAGTTCGAGATTGGCATTCGTTAGTAGTCTTGGGAAGGTCTGTAATGAAGATTATGATAGAAGTGTAGTTGCACCATTTCTTTGTTGCGAGCTGCAGTCAAACTATTAGTTAATTCACTACCAATACGGCATAACAATAATTACCTACCAGATGGGATAATTGAATCCGACTGAGTAAACGACGTTTTGGTGTCCAGATAATGTTTTTAACTCGCCGCCAGTCTCCACGTCCCACACTTTACACGTACGATCGTAGCTGCCCGTGATGCATCTGAAATATACATTACACTCGTATACGTTGATGATTCTGGCATTCTGGTGGAATATATACGTGGTGGAGCCACGCTGCAGCTATATCATGTTGTAGCACAAATGTGTCGGGTTAATCGGGGCAGGACCCTCACGGAATATAGCCAGCGTAAAATAGCAGCTTAATGCTGCTGTGTTTCGTATCATGAGTGTAGTAGAGAGAACCGGAGGCCCTTTTTACTGGAAAAGAGATATTCCATCTTTGTCCTTAGGGTGATAATGCATTTGCATTTTGATTCTTAATAGGGGAGAAATGTCTATGGAACACAGCGTCCATTTACCATCAGGTGGACTGTGTGCTCGTATGTCACCCTTATTCTGTAAAAATAAAATACAGTGTCGTAACTATTAAAATCTTAGACCATTTAAATGGTCTATTATTAAAATGGATAATATTTAGTATTTATACGATAAAAATTTAGACATTTTTAATTCAGGACGCTATTATTACTCAATCTATACATATAATAAAACTGTAAATAGCAGATGTCTGTACATTTTATATTTTTGTAATAAAAGTGATTGAGGGGTACTAAAAATAAGTAATTAAATACATTTCTACCATTTTTAGAATTTTCTGTCTGTCTGTCTGTCTGTCTGTCTGTCTGTTTGTTTGTTAACGTATCACGTATAAAGTACTAATTTATATCATAAGAATTGTTAAGGAAATTATAAAGTGTATCTTCGGGTTACATTTAGTCTTTATTTCATTAAAATCAGTTCATTCCATCAAAAGTTATGATAAATATTCTGAAGTATGGGTAGGGAAGTATAGGTACGAATTTGCTCAACGGTGGCTTTGTTTGAGTCATCAAGTGCATTTTAAACTAATATCATATCATAAATCATAGTTAAATTATGTAAAATAATGATATAATTATGTATATCTAAAACGCAGTAAACAAAAGTATTAAAGAACGTATTAAATATATTATACAAAAATATATTAACCTTATTAACTAAATCTGAAGCACAATAGTTAACCCATTTCTTCGATAGATGGTGGTGTGGCATAAATGTGATACAAAAAGGCAGGTTAAAATTTATTCCTGTAGTTGAGTTTCATATTTGCTTCTAACCTTTATATTAATGACACGCTGCCCTACTGCGTGTTGACAATCTCATTTATTTTTTATTTTTTTACCGCCGAGTACTCTATGTGGTAAATCAAATTTTAAGAGCTATTAACAATTTCATTTTTCGGCGAGGATCAAACTTTCTTTTTTGCTTACTATGCAGGCACTGATTTATAAGTTCTTTTATGTTTTTTATTGTATCAATCGTGTGAATTAATCTCTTATTTTTAGAATTGATGTTAACAGCGCTATCTCTCTTAAATCTATACATATAATAAAAATGGTAATAACATGTTATGTCTGTTTCTGAATATTGTATAGTATATTAATTTGCGACTAAAATCATTATTGGGACTGTAAATCATTAAATAAGTACATTTTTATAATTTTTAGAATTGTACTATCTGACGGTCTGTCTGTTTGTTTATGGACGCATGACGTTTTGAGTAAACATCTATTTTTTTTTTTCAATGAAATCCTTAAGAAAATCATAAAGCGTATTATCAAGTTCATTTAATCTTTGTTTTATTGAAATTGGTTAATTCTATCGAAAGTCATGATTATTATTTTGAAATGTAGGTTCGAATTTGTTTAATGGCGCCACAAAATCCCAAAAATAGTAATAAAAAGATTCGTGTGTAAAAAAAAACGTTCTATTATAATATATTTCGTATCGTTCTATTATAGTACTTAAAACACAGTAAAAATATGTTTTCCTTAAATTAAAAAAGGATGTTTTCTCACAAAGAACGTAATAGATGGCGTTGTACAAATTACAACCTTTTCTGAATTGCGGTGTTAAGATTTTTCGCAGGTGAATCGTATTGAGACTCACTGTAATAATTTATGTCCATGAGCCTGACAAAGCTGCAAGCCTGTAAGGTATATATACAGAGGTATTGAAATATTTAATTATGCAACAAAACTCGACTAAAACTAAAAGTAGCAAAATTGCAATAAATGTCGTGATGGTGATATTGTTTTATAGCCAGAATCACTCTAATACCAAATAACTTTTTTTTCAGTTTTAAGTAAAGTAAAGTTGCAGCCTATTTACGTCCCACTGCTGGGCACAGGCCTCCTCTAATTTCTGAGAGGGTTTTAGGGCAAGGAAATGTCCACCGCGCTGCCCCAATACGTGTTGGAGAACTTCATATGTCATCGAAATATTATTTTTTATTTCTCAAACATGCAGGTTACCTCACGATTTTTTCCTTCACCGCCGAGCACGTGGTAAATCAGCACTTAAAATTGCAATTGACAATTTCATTGGTGCCGGCGGGGATCGAACCCGGGTTGCTCGAGTACTGTGAAGCTTACAGCGAGCGCTAACCATCTGAGCTACCACGGCTCAGGCTTCAGTTTTAAGATAGGGATAATAACATCGATGTTGGCATCGCTAGCTCAACATCGATGTTCGATGTTTAGGCCACTCAAAACATCGATGTTGACCATTATCGATGGTTTTTGTATATGTGTAGATAGTTACACATTGTTTTAAAATTATGTGGGTATACACAGCAAGGGAAAAGTAACTATTAACTTGAATATCAATTTACGTAGAATAGTTATTATGCGACAACCGACAACGACACTACAAAATAAAGCGAAAGCAGTGACCATTGTGACATTACAGGAGACACTTGACAATTAAGTTTGACTCACCATACTGACATTTTTTTAGATTAACGATGCGTTCAGAAATTCTGAATTATTCAAAATTTTTAATCTTCAGAGCAGATGCAAGATTTAGTTGATATTGATTTCGCGAGTTCGCATTGTTTGCAAGTTCCCAATTATCGATTATGGGTTCATTGACGTCGATGTTTCGATGTTTGACATATGTCAACATCGATGTTAAAACATCGAAGTTTTAATTTTTAACATCGATGATCATCTAACATCCCTATTTTAAGTGTGTTTCCCACTCAGCGTGTGTTATGCGACGATCGTAAATAAAGCGCAAGGTCAAACTTTACGCGTCAGTACTGATTGTTTTGCACATGGCCAGCTCTATATTGCTTTTTCTCGCGTTAGTAGTCCCCGTAACCTTTTTCTGTACGCCCCGGCTAAGTCTACTTCTATCGTCGTTTACACAGAAGCTCTATCATAAACGACTTAGAACTTTGAGAATATCGATTTATTTTGTTACCACTTATTCATAGAGTAATGATATAAATCGGTTAATATTCTCTTACCCTAAACGTCAAATTCTTTAAGTAAAACCTATATTCGCGAGCTACGCCGCGGGCACAGCTAGTTAATTAATATTACCGTGTATTGGCGGTGTAGAAATATCCACTAACCTATAATATAATCCCGTGAGTGTTGTGAGAGGCGACAGAGGGAAACAAATAAGGAGATGGGCAGCAGGGTGTCCCTAATAACGACTAAAAATAAAAATAAAACTGCGGTTGCCTACCCGCTTGCCAAGCGTAGTAACTATGGCAAATATCGTCCCTATGAGGCAATCTATAGGGAGGTCTATGTTTAGCAGTGGACTTTAATGGGCTGTAACGGAGTATTTAAGTGACGCATCAGTAAACAACATACAATGACATTATTTTATTTGACCAAATTCTACATTACAAAACTAATCGATTTATGATTGTATTATTTTTTTGATTATGTATTTATGATAATGTTTCTATACACAATGCAGCGAACGTTATCAGTTTTTAAAATCTGTTTTTTTCATTACCTGTATTCACAAATAAATAAACTTTGAATTTAAAATTTAAATTTGATTTTTTTTTATGTATGATGTAACGTTTTAAAATTTTTTTTTGCCTGCCTGTCGAAGATATGTGTAGTCCGCCAACATGCACAGGGGCAGCGTGACCATATTGTCCTAGAAGTCAAGAACCTCTCATTTCAAAGAGAAATGAGAGATCTTTATCTAGGTAGCAGGGGAACGTATATCACACTCAGAGAATACCAGCGTAAAATAGCAGCTTAAAATGCTGTGTTATGTATGGTGAGTGTAGAGAACCGGAGACCCTTTTTACTGGAAAAGAGGCATTCCATCTTAGTTCTCAGGGGTGACAACGCATCTGCATTTTGATTCGCAAAAGAGGATAGATAGATTACTGACTCCCACACATTGTAGAGAAGACTTGCTCAAATCATCCTGTGTGTCTCGCTAGCAACCCAAAGTCAGGAATTTGCATTTAGAAATTCCTGACTTTGCGTTACTGGCGAGACACAGATGTCCTTGGGAAGTAGATTGACACCCTTGGCATTTACCAAACGTTTTGTACTCTTGTCGCTGCCTCCTGTTCTTGGTCTGGGTAGATAGAATAGAGAAGTATAGAATATAATGATTTTTATTAAATACTAGCTGTTCCCCGCGACTTCGTCCGCGTGGAATTTATTACGATGGATTTAATTATTTTTCTAAAATAAAATTAGTCTAAGTTACTCCTTATAACATCAGCTATCTGCCAATGAAAGTCCCGACAAAATCGGTACAGCCGTTTCGGAGATTATCCGGAACAAACAGACAGACAGGCAAAAATTTAAAAAATTGTATTTTTGTTATAAGTACCATATATACTTTCATATGCATTTAGTAAAAAGCTATTATTTTGACATTACAAACAGACACTTCAATTTTATTTATTTGTATAGATAGATTATTATATAATACTTATTGAAAGTAGTTTTTTTATTAATGTCTGGTACGGTATTTTATGAGTGGCATTTACAAGATAGCGATAGGATATTTTTATATATCACATGGTATATCCCTTTATAGACCCTAGGGACAAAATGGGGTAATGAATTAGCGTAGGCCTTAACTTAAATAACTTAATGGATCTACGAGACAAGGAGAAAGGGTATAGTAAACAAACTCACCTGCTTCCAGCCTTATCAAAAGCCACATTGGTTAGTGGTAGGAGATGAGTGACTAAAGTTTTATAGATATAGAAGCGCTTTCCTGTGGGACCCTCGTGTTCGATCCTCTTCTTCAGCGTCACTAGGCACTGCTCCAATTGTTCACGCACCTCATCCGTTATTAGCGCTTCCTTCTGTTGGAGGTTATCTGCTATTTGCTTCACATCTGAACTGGGGATGATGATAAATAATTATTGATTCATTTTATCTGTGGCATGCTTCGGAATCAACTCTTTGGTGTCCTAGGTTTTTATAGCAAATCATTCTATATTGGTGTAGCATAATATCACTTTAAATTTTTTTCAATAATAAAACATGACATTTTTTATTAGAGAATTAATTACCGATGCCCTCTCTACGGTGATGTTCTAGGCCAGTGCTTAGTGTGCCTTATTATAAACCCATCACTGTCTATGGTCATAGCTTACAAGTTACGTGGTAGAGCCACATTGCAGCTAAATTATGGCTGCAATACCAATAGTTTGGCTCGATCTGGGAAGTAAAAAGCTTGCACGGTATACCAGCTTGAAAAAGCAGCATAATGCTGTTGTGTTATTACATCCTAGTTCTTAGAGGTAGCAACGCAACTGCATTTTTTTATAAGATAAGGGTAACAAACTAGCACACAGTCCACCTGATGGTAAGTAGTTGCTGCAACCCATAGACATCTACATCTATTATTAATTACAAATCAAAATGCAAATGCGTTCTCACCCGTGAGGGCTAAGATGAAATGCCTCATTTCCAGTAACAAGGGTCTCCGGTACTCTATACTCACCATACGAAACACACATAGCATTAAGCTGCTATTTTACGCTGGTATTCTGTGAGAGCGTGGTACTTCACCGGTCGAGCTGACCTATTTGTGCAACAAGTATACTACTAATATAGCTGTAGCATGGCTCTACCACGTATAAAATGTTGTAAAATAATTTTGATGAAGTTAGATGCAGTTGTCTTTGGATTACAGCGTTCACAATCAGGCGGATTGTGTGTATATATAATGATACACTGATAGCAAAGGCTAGAATTGTTTTATTTAAAAGTTTTATTTAAAAAAAGGAAGATTGCTCTTTTTGCCGGTAACGTGGCATTCCTTCAAAGGTTGTTACCGCTGAGGACTAACTTTTTTTATTTTGATTCTTAATCGTTGATAGATATAGATATCTATGTACCATAGCATCCACTTTCCATTAGATGGACTATGTATCCGTTTGTCACCCTTATTCTATATAAAAAAATTCGAAAATGGGAATAATACAGAGCGTAAGTACAAACATTGCAGTTCCCTTCCTATATTACAGAAAGCTTCCAGAATTCTCCCTTATTTTAAAAGTATGTATCTAATTATGAAGTAAATAGTAAATAAATAAATTCGTTTGCCTCCAAATTAGGACAACGATAGGTTGCTGGATTTTACTATACGTTAGGACATACATTATACACTCACTTGCAATTCAATTCTAAGAGGTCGATATCCTTACTCTTAACGATACCCTTTTTTGTATACTCCAGAATTATTCCGGGTGGATGATATCTTAGGTGAAACTTTAGTAGTTTCATAGTGTTTTTAAAAGTGATAGAGCATTTTTTTACATAGGTTAAATTGTCAGAAAAATGATTTGTCAATACAGCGGTTGCTATGGCAAAGTAAACAGATATTTTAGTTATCTACGCTACCAAAGAGTATTGTAAGATAGTAAGTATAAGGCGACCCGCTACGCCACTGACCTCTATACAGGGTTATTTTTCAAAGAGTAGCCAAATTTTAAACTTAAGTTTTATTAATAATGATATGCCGTTAATGCAGTTTTTTACATTTATTTGAAATTATCCCAAATTGAAAGTGACTTATGGGCAACAATGTTTTACCTACCAATTGACCCATACAAAAGTGTTCGTGCGCAGTAAAATCAGTTATAATAATGCATTACCACGCATTTTGAATTTGATAGATAATAATTTAAAATAAAAATAATTGTACAGCCGACTTCAATATAAGTTATTAAGAATAACTCAAAAACTATTGATTACACCTTAATCAAATTTATATGAAACTACATGTGAAGCACCAGCTTTCAACTAAAAAAGAATCATCAAAATCGGTTGACGCAGTAAAAAGTTATGAGGTATATGACATAAAAAAACATACAGTCGAATTGAGTGCCGTCTCCTTTTTAGAAGTCGGCAGAAAAGGACATAATGTTTGAGATTTTTTTAAATTAATTTTTCTTCACCATTTGCCTATATACTTATTCTAAACCTTCTCTGCAAATTTAGCCGGTTATTGCAAAATAACCCTGTATATACAAGTACGCTACATTTATTATTTACACTCACAAGTATCATAACAGAATTGCCCTAATATTACAGATAAGTCAGATATTATTTATTTATTTATTACAAAAAACAATTAATGCATCATAACACTAAGTCAATGCTATACAAAAAAAAAAACCAGATAGATATACATAATTACTGATAGACATACAAAAATATATATTATTATAATTAAGTAAAATAATTATAGAAAATATGCGTGAGTGTTGTGGAACACTCAGTCGGAACGAAGTTTCTTTCGTAGTATATTATTATTGATAAACGTATTGTTACGCACTTGGGGTTCGAGACAATTAAAAACTGCCGATTGAATTACCAAAATTGACACTTTAATTACACAACACTACTTACAATCTAAAATCACACTAATAATAAAACACAGTTCGCCGTTATTTCGCTTCGAAGTATACTCTTGTATCGCCAATTCAATACTGCCTCGGTCGTGGTCTATACCGGCCTTATATAGGGCCTCAGATAGTTTCCAGAATCTTCTACTGTAGCGACATCTAGAATGTTCGAGTACATATCGGTCCCGAAATTTCTGGAAGGATCTTGACTCTCCTAGTTCTGCTACTCGACACTAGAGGGCGCTAGTGTAACTAGTGTTGCCATGTACAAGGCATTAATAGTGGCGCGCAATATTTTCATTTACTCGACACTAGAGGGCACTAGTGTAACTAGTGTTGCCATGTACAAGACATTAATAGTGGCGCGCAACACTGCCCCCTCCTAAGACATGCTCGTCCCGAGCATTATTGGCCCCATAATAATGCGCCAGTCGATCCACATGGACAATCTTAGGAGTACCTCTGGCACCTTTCTGTATCCGGTAGGTTACATCATTGATCCTTGTCACAATCCGGTACGGTCCGTCCCATTTAGCTTGAAGCTTAGGAGATTTCCCTTTGCTGCGACCTGGATTGTGTAACCACACTAGTGAACCTTCATCAAACCCCTTGTTGTTCATTTTGCGGTCATACCGTGTTTTCATCTTCTCAGACGTTTGCTGGCCCGTCTGTCTGACGTGCTCATAAATGTCATTCATTTTGTTCCGCAAGTCATTTGCATAATCGGTTATACTGCGTGGGGCATCAGGTGGTATTCCGGTGATCAGGTCTGCAGGCAGCCGTAATTCTCTCCCAAAGTTTGCGAAAGCTGGCGTCACTGACGTACTTTCGTGAACAGCGCTTCGATATGACAATAAAAACGGTTGTATGTGCCTGTCCCAGTCTCGTTGCCGTTTTTCCACAACTTTTGCCAGGTATCTTTCCAATGTCTGATTAAATCGTTCTACCATTCCATCAGATTGTGGGTGGTAAGAAGTTGTTCGTGTTTTATGAGTACCCATAACTCTGCAAGTTTCCTGGAATATTTGAGACTCGAAATTCCTTCCTTGATCGCTGTGAATCTCTAAAGGTACTCCAAAACGACAGAAGACTTCATGAACTAGTTTATCTGCAATTGTTGAAGCTTCTTGAATTGGAATGGCGAAGACTTCTGGCCACTTAGTGAAGTAATCCATCACAACCATGAAATACTTGTTACCACTTTCACTTTCCGGAAACGGCCCCGCAACGTCAATGGCTATCCTCTCACATGGTGCACCAACATTGTACAATTTCAATGCGCCTCTACTACGAATTTGAGGTCCCTTTACAGCCGCACAACTTGTACATTTACGGCACCAGTCCTCGACATCGTCACGACAGTGGACCCAGTAAAACCGTTCTCGGATTTTCAGTAGAGTTAGTTTAACTCCCAGGTGGCCTCCTGAACAACCACTATGGTACAGCTGTAGAACATCCGGTATTTTAGCCTTAGGGACAACCATTTGCAAATGACAACTGTCTCCCCGACCATTTTCCCATTTACGGCACAGGACTCCATCCTGAATCAGCAAGCTGTCCCATTGGGCCCAATAGATTTTCGTGGTCGAACTCATTGCTGAGACGTCGCTCCACTTGGGCTTAGGAGCACTGGCCTTCATCCATTCCAGAATCGGCTTAATATCCGAATCTTCCTGCTGTGCATGTTGTAGGCTGTTCTTCCACTCATTGCTGAGCTGGTCTGTCCTGAGCATCCTCACAGATACCACTTCCTTACCCTCTTGCCTAATACAATGCTTGCAATCTTCAGGGCAAGGTCTTCTTGACAATGCATCTGCATTGCCATGAGATTTCCCGCTGCGATGTTCGATCACAAAGTCGTATTCCTGCAGTAGTTCAATCCATGTCGCAACTTGTCCTTCCGGATTTTTGAACTGCAATAGCCATTTCAGTGCAGCATGGTCAGTTCGTAAGTGGAATTTCCGCCCTAGAAGATATTTGCTAAAATGCTGCAAGGACTTTACCACAGCAAGCAATTCCCGTCTTGTGACACAATAGTTCCTTTCCGGCTTTGACAACGACTTGCTGAAGTACGCTATCACAATCTCTTGATCACCATTCCGTTGAGACAACACACCGCCAAGTCCTATATCACTTGCGTCTGTGTCAACTATGAATTCCTTGCCCGCATCACGGTACCCCAAAATAGGTGTTTTGCACAGACGGTTCTTGAGCTCCTGGAATGCAATATCGCAACTTTCATCCCGGCAGAAATGTCGCTTCTCCTCGGTTAGCTTGTGCAGAGGTTTGGCTATATCTGCAAAGTTCTTCACAAATCGCCGATAGTAAGAGCACAAACCCAAAAATGCTCTAACCTATGTCTTGTCTTTTGGAATCGGCCACTCCTTGACAGCGGCAACTTTCTCTGGATCCGTGCGGATACCTTCTTCCGATACTACATACCCCAAAAAACTAACTTGCCGTTTGAATAGTGAGCACTTCTTCGGACTCAACTTGAGGTTGCCACTCTGGATCTTCATGAGCACGCGTTCCAGGTTTTGAAGGTGTTCCTCAAACGTACGGCCTACGATGATGATGTCATCCAAGTAGACCAGACAGGCATCTCCAATTAGCCCGGTAAGTACAAGCTCCATCAATCTTTCAAACGTTGCTGGAGCATTGCACAATCCAAACGGCATGACTTTAAATTGCCACAGACCCTTTCCTGTGGAGAATGCAGTTTTCTTCTTGTCCTTAGGGTCAATTTCAACCTGCCAGTAGCCACTTTTCAGGTCCAGCGTACTAAACCACTTTACGCCTGTGAGCATGTCCAGCGTGTCATCAATTCTAGGCAAGGGATAGCTGTACTTCTTCGTAACGTCGTTCAGGCGGCGGTAGTCAACACAAAACCGCATGCTGCCGTCCTTCTTCTTTACCAGCACCACAGGTGAACACCATGGACTAGATGAAGGTTCAATAACACCATCCTTCACCATTCCCTCAATCATGGTTTCCACTTCCTTTTCACGTGCTACAGGCAATCTTCTTGGCCGCTGACGAATAGGCAATTCTTCTCCTGTGTTTATTTTGTGTTGAACTAAGCCAGTCTTTACTATATCAGCTTCGTTTGACGAGAAAACATTGCCGTACTTGAGTAACAACTTCTTCGCCTTGATCATTTCATTCGGGGAGAGAACGCTGCGACATTCTTCTAAAAGTGTGGTCACTCTAGTTTGTCCATCCTTGCTGAGGGTCCCAGTCGATAGATATTGGCACCGACGCAACCAATCCACTTCCTCACTAGTACCAACCAATGTGCCTTTTTCTATAATCTGTTCCTGATCACAAAGGTTCAGCACACGTACTCCTGAGATGTCGGCGGTTCTGACCAAGGTTCGAGCCATTATCCATGGAAGGTCGTTGTCTACCCTTTCCACGAGTACACAACGAAGAGTTTGCCCAGGATTCCGAGGCAGTCTAACCGGCACAATCGTTTCCGATCTCGGTGGAAGAACAATCTTCTTAAGGCTGTACACATTCCCTGGTAACGCCCCTTCCACGAAAAGTTCCTCTTGTCCACATTTCAAAACACCTTGCTTAACGTCGATCTCACAACAATTCTTCCTCATAAAGTCTAGGCCCAGGATGCAGTCGTCCATTATATCAGCCACGATGACATTATGCAGGTAGATCATGTTGCCTAGCTTCAACTCCATCTCCTTCTCTCCACGGATGGCTATGCGCTGACCAGTGGCTGTCACCAAATTAATGCGTTCTCGGTTGTATGCGGAGTCCCCAAGGAACCGACTTATAAGTTGGGAACTGACAACTGTGCGAGAGGCTCCAGTGTCTATGGTCAGTTTACACGGCGTTCCGTTGACTTCACCCTTGATGATT